TAACCACATATTTGCAATTACGTAGGGAGAAAGATTGGTAGACCAAGTCATCTTATATCGAATGACTCTAATATATTTGATGTGGCTTAGATTATGCAAATAGATTCAGCCGGGCTGGCCGGGATCAAAATCACGTGAAAGTAAGACCTATTGGCTAGATAAAAATACGTCATGATAGGTCCAAAAGAATTACCGCGCTAATACCACATCGAATAATATATATTACTATTAGATTTGAAAAAAATACCATATCAATACCGTGCTATTACCGCGAAATTGTGTAATACTATTCTTCCGCAATTAAGGCTATGATCATCGCAAAAACATGGAACAAATATGGTAATTCTGATGTCTATTAATTTGCTGATCTCATTTCCTTTTTTCTCATATTTATTCGAAAAAAGATAACCCCCGCCTTCTCATAAATTCAAAGCCAGAAAACCCTGCCTTCTCAGGACCTAGCGTGGTTGAGCGACAAGATGCTCAGGGAAATAATTCCCAATACTATCCCAGGTAGATAGGGTATTCTCCTGCAGATGCATAGCATCAAAGGGGAAAATAAACATATGATAATTCAGTAAACAATCTACTTAATAATTCTCCTAGCCAGATACAGGGGATATGATAGGACTCATCATTGGTGAGGACTTTCTTTCATATTTTCCATCACAATAATAATAACCTCCATCATAATCACTGTTTCCATTATATCCATCATCATCTGGCATCTCTTCTTCGGAATCTTTATTATGACTACAGTCACTAGTAGCATCTACCTTATCTGATTGCGAAATATCATCTTCAGAATCTATAAAAGGACCATCCTGATCAGGACCTAATGGGACCCCATCTGGTAATTCAGTATTGGGATTTTCAGAGAAATAATCAATAATAGTTTGAATTTGACTATCAGATAATTCCGATATAGAATTCGCACTATACGTTGTGATATACTTGATTTTATTAATTCCTATTTTCTCAAATAATTTGTATATACTTCTTGCTCTCTGAGTTTGTTTTAGTATTGTGTTGCGTTTAGTACCAGAAGGAAGGAGTTTAATAAGATTGTCATAAATCATACCTTTTGCTTTTTTCTCGCCAACTTTATACTTATTCATAAACTCTACAGTCTTTTTATCAAATTCTATAATATAGGAACACCAACACAATAATTCTTTTTGATTAGCTCGAATTGCTTCATCTTTCGCATCCCATGCTTCTTGTATTAAGCAGGCTAGATTTTGCAATATATTGGGGGGATTATCCATATCAGATTTTTCGTGACGGTCCGTCATGGAAATTTCAGTCATATGATTTTTCTCAGGTGCTGAAGTAGTTCTGGAATCAAACACATCCTGTACAATATTCTCTGCTTCCCTCTTCTTATGTGATTGAGATTTTTTGTCTTTCGTTACAGAAGATGAGTCCAGGATAGCTGATTCACGCAATAATTTCTTTTCCTTATTCCTCTGCATAATCTCATTGCTAACACCTTTCTTATACTCTTCACCTAAGAAAGCGTCTGTCTTCCTCTCCTCCATTGACTTGATATTTATATTATCACTAGTTGCTCTATTTATAGGCTGATCTATTACAGGGTCAGAAGCAAAACGCTTTTCAGGCTCAGTATCCGGCTGTGATATATTTGTTATTTTTGATATCTCTTCTTCTCCAACAGAGCATGAGTTCTGCACATTAGTAACGTGCTGTAATTGCTGAGGCCTCGTAAGATTGGAGGAATCGAAATCATATCTTAGTTTGGCTAGTTCAGCTTTAAGCTCTGCATTTTCGGCTGAAATATTCACACTATTTTTCTCCAATTCCTCGATTCTGATCTTGTGTTCCGCATTCTCAGCATCACGCTTGGCATTCTCTTCATTAATCTGCCTCAGCTGTGAGTTCTCAGCTTCAAGCTCAGTAATGCGCTGTCGTAATAATTCAAGTTCGGATGACATGATCAATAATATTTTTATAGAAGATATGAAATATTCAAAAGTCCGTTATTATATATACTATTTTTAAATTTGCGTGACGGGCCGTCATGGAAAATTGTCAAGAAAATTTTATTATCTGACGTACTTGCTTTATTAATAATAAAAAAATACATGTATCGAATCTCTACACTATGAATTTTTTGGGGTTGAAACCGTTACTACCATTTCACTAGAACTATGTTCACTATCCCCAGAGTCAGAACTATATAATATTTTGTGAATTGTACATGCAACGGCCATTCTCAGAGTCATCAACGCATGTATAAGCGGGTATACAGCACTTGGGAAAGTCATATGCAATGGAATTGTCGCTTCCTCTATTAAATAGTACTTATAAATACCCGATTCTTTCCACATAGCATAAAGTTCTATAACATCGCTTAAAATAAAAGCAATATGATTTTTCACTATTGGTTTGTAATACAAGAGCAGGAGGTATAGTATGGCCAAAGAAAAGTAAAAATATAATGCATTACCTGCAATGTTAATAGCAAATATAGTCAAATTCTGCCTCTTGGAAAATTGATTGAACATTCTTTTAAGCTTCGATAAAATCCTAGTAGTATCAATAGAATCCTTGGATAATCAAATTAATTTTTTATGATCTCACTGGCATTATCTTGGTTGGAATTTGGCCTTCCAGTTTCAAGATAAACTATTTCGAGTTCTGCATCTTTTCCTAATTGCGCTATGGTCATATAATCAGGCTTTCGTGCAAACTTGCGAGATCCTTTTCGTATAGTGCTAGCCGAACTTCTCTCTTCACCCCTATTTAGGAAAATCATTAAATAAGAAAAAAGCACGACAGAGGAGAAATATTTTATAGGTAATACTAGGCGCTTACCATATATCCCATACAACAGGATTTTCAGGCAAATCACTCATTACTATATTTATTAATAGCGCGAGTACTTCACAAACGTATGACCCTTCATTAACCGATTTCCCTTTCTTTGTATAGGCTTCATACTTAGGTGATTTCCAAACTTTAAACCT